CGGTGCACTGTGTTGGTGCCGTGTCCCTCTCGCTCTCTGTGTGTGTGTGCCACCTGCTGTGCTCCTCCTCTCCCCCGCAGACACAGGTGGTCCCAGACCATTGACGCTGATGCTGCGCCACGTGCTGTGCGTGTTGGCCCTCGCGCTGTGCTGCTGCACACCTCTGTGCGTGGTTGCGTCTGGTGCTGCTCGTGCAACTGCGGGCATAGTTGAATTTCCACTTGCTATTGGCGACGCGAAGATAACGCTGACGGGGACTGTTGATGCGACCAACTGCACAGCAGCGTCCCCCCAGGCTACTGGGGTAACCAAGGATGTTACCATTTCCACTACGGTTGGTTTGGCGAGGACGGGTGACTCACAAGATGCGAAAGGAAGTGCGAATGTACCATCTGAGGTAATTAAAGTTCCTGTTGGGTATAGCATGACGCTGGAGACCTCACTGGGTGTTAAATGTACGAAGAAAGTCCCAACGCCTGCAGAAGCCACTGACACAACGTGTACAGTTAACGAGGGTGCCGTAGCTACCAACAGTATCACCTATGATGCCAACGTGGAGACCACTGCAACGGACTACGACCCCAAGAAGATCATCGAAAACAAAAAGCATAAAGTGAAAGTCACAGATGGGTACGACGTGGAAATCGTTGCGAATGTTGTTGCCAAATGCAGTCCTTTACCAGAGGCCAAATCATCTCTCCTGCCTGGACAGACCAAGGGTCCTAGCGGGGGAAAAGGGGAATTACATCTGAGTGATAAGATAACGCAGCCCGAAGCAGTTGCTCGTGCAGTGGAGGGTCCTGAGGGCAGGTTAAAGGCTGATGAGGACCCTGAGGAGCCTACAGGCCCTTCCACTGCCACTGGAAGAGGAACTGCACAGGGTCTACCAAGTGCCAGCGCGGACCCCTCCGCAGGGACCCACCAGCCGCGACTCACGCCCGTGACAGAAGGCGGCTCAGCCGTTGAAGAGACCAACAGCGAGGAGACACACACAGNCCAGCCGCGACTCACGCCCGTGACAGAAGGCGGCTCAGCCGTTGAAGAGACCAACAGCGAGGAGACACACACAGTGGACGAAGGTGCCACTGCCACTGAGTCAAATGGTGCCCCGGAGACTGTTGCCAAGCAGCCGTCTGAAACAGAAGCGCAAACAACTGTGGCACCTGCTGCTTCTGCACCGCGGGAGTCCAGCTTCACTACCAGCAGCTCCGGTGGTGAGGCTCACACCAATCGTAACGCGGATGGGGTCAGTGGCTCTCCATGGTTGCGTGCGCCACTGATGCTGACTGCGGTGCTGATGTCTCTTTCTGTTTATTGACTGGCGTGTGCACAAGAGATGAGTTCTCCTTCCATTCCGTTGAGCTCGGGGTTGTAATGTCTGCTCGCGAGAATGTTTCATTTCATTCCATTGCTGCCCCGTTGTGGGCTGGGCGCTGTTTAATTCACCCGTGACTGTACTCACTTGTGCTGTGTGTGTGCGAGGTGTGGTTTCTTTTTCTCGCGGGTGTGGGCTTTGCTTTGCGTGCTGCAGTGCGCCGCCCACTAACTGTTTGCTCTGCTGGGCGATTTCTCTCTTTTTTGTTCTTCGTGTGTGGTGCGCTGCGGCTGCCTCGCTGTT